AACGAAATGGAAACGCTGACGGGTTGTCTAGACAGACTGACTTGGAAAAATGATCCGTAAGCATCCCCGGACATGCTGGATCAGACTGTGTATGCCAGCTTGTGGGCAAGGGGGAGCAGTGTAGCAGAACCCCTCTGGCTGTCCAGCACATTTCCTTCATAATTTTTTATTTGAACATAAAAGGTTTTAGTATGGACTTCTATTAGACTGTGTATAGGAAGGTGTACCCCTCCCCCGTTTCCTATGCCATTGTTCTCCAGCAGGGCGTAGTCCCAGGCACACTGACAGACTAGTTGGAACTGGTTTGGGCTGGAAACCCATGCTTCAGTGGTCCTAAAGGGAACTCAACCTAACATTTTAACCCCCATAACTCCCAAACCCCTGGTCCGATCTGGGTGATTTTCAAATATGTTATTCACCCAGATCAGGGCTATCAGGGGATACCACATTTAGGGGTGTACCCTATGTATTTGGGGTACATCTAGAACTTGGGGAAAATTTATACATTTTAATTCTGTTAACAGATAAGCTAATGGGAGGAGATATGTGGGTTGTACCTTGTACGTTATTGGTTAATGTACTAATTATTGTGGGTGGCTCCCTTGCACGGGAGCATTGCATAAAAGCAGGGGTTGTGTGATTAAAAGTTAGTTAAGTTCTACTCCTGATACTGTGTGTCGTCCAGCTATTGGGAAGGTGATGGGATATTACTGGATTGCCTTGCTGATTGTGCTTGTTACCCTACTGGATTTACTACTTGTTCCTGAGCCATTCTAGGATACCAGCGGAAATGGGCTGTGGGAAATCAGCTCTCCGCTACATGGACTATTAGGGCCACAAAGCCTTCCAGAACACATTTCTCTCCCACAGCCTGAGATGAAAGCTATCCAGCCTCAGAACTGCAAGGAATTCAGTGACTACCCCACTACCTCTCCACTAGCCTTCCTTCTCTTATACTTGGGGTAACAGGAATATTGCAATTCCTCTTTTTCCTTTATATTTTTTTCATGTGTGTCTGTATATAAAAAAAGTTGGGAATCTGGCACTCTACCTTAATGTAAGCAAATAGACCAAGGTGCTGCACAGCGTAGATATATATAAAATAAAGAAATGAACGCACTCAGTGAATTTTGTTAAAAAAGTAATTTGTGTTGTAGTCAAGGGATCAACGTTTTGACCTGTAGGTCTTTATCATGATCAAACTACTTTTTGAACTAAATCTGAGTGCTCTCATTTCCTTATAGTGTGTGTGTATGTATGTATGTGTGTATATGTATATGTATATGTATGTATGTATGTGTGTGTGTGTATGTGTGTGTATATATATATATATATATATATATATATATATATATATATATATATATAATCTCTCTATATCTCCACGCCAGTGTTGTGAAGTGTTTTTGCTTTGTGAACAGGCTACAGGCAGTGCTTTTCTGCTGTGTGGAAATAAATTACTTTATTTTGCTACACCTTCATGAAAACCGCCTTTGTTTGATTTTGTAAGTTGAGTCTTAATGCACATTTATAGATTTATTTACTGAATCGCATATGAATCGATGCACAATTTAACAGATATATTTAAAATTATTTGTCTTTCAGGCAATCCTGATAAGCCCAGCGTTCTAGCAAAACATGTATTGGGTGTTTAAAACATTTCTTTTTATCTTTTAATTTTTTTTTATTGGATTTTTCATTTCCATAAGCATCTGTATCACAGTATTAGGGTATTACGAAAATAAACAGACATAAGATAGAAAAGTGGTTAGCGACAAGCGTGTGGCTACGCATCCCTGGATGAGTAACTCAGTCTCTAAGTATATATTTGAACCTACATGGAAGGTAAGTACATTGAGTGAAACTGAAATGAACTGATCTGGGGAAGGGATGTTTAGGCAGGAACTATTTCCTTATGGTATGTTATGCTGTTATATGAACTTAGCTTAGTGAGATGGTGCACATTAAAACACTAATGCAGTATAAGTTCCTATTCTATGTGTTGGGGCTATATTTATTAGTCACAGTTGGTGGGTCAGGTCAGGGTGCTTGGCATCGTAGCCTCTGTAAGAAGGCATTGGCATACCCTGTGGAGGAGAGGGTAAGTGCTGCATCTCCTTTGGATATTATCAGTGATCCATCTGCTCCCCAGCGGTACTTGATCGCGGCAGTCCGCAGTTGCGCCAGCTGTCTTCTCTCCATTAACACGGCGAATGGTAGGTCCCCGTAGATCGCGATTGTGCAGTGTAATGGAGCTGCAATATTAAATCCCAATATCACCACTGGTAAAATAAGGTAATCCAAGGAAAGCGCTGAAAATGAAGGCAATATCCCAAATCCCCTCCCCAGTAACCGGACGAAAAACATTTCTGGGAGTCAACTGACTATTTTATTCACAAGCAAGTATTTGTGGTTCCCCATGCAAGGGGTTTCCTTACTGACTTTACAGGGGTTGTAAAGTAGGGGACTAAATGGGGGACTTAACAAACAGAACATTTCTCCCACCATGCACTGCTGTACTAGAGGGATACTCCCACTAGAATATCCTGTTAAGTAGATTATCCCTCCGTACAGCAGAACCGGCTTTTCACATAAAAATCCGTAACTTACATATTATTGGTGCCCTTGTAACGAATGACCGTTTGGCAGATAGCTGGGGACTGAGCGCTGTAGTGGAGAGGTAGTATAATCCACAATATCTCCGCTGGTAGACAGGAACAGCATATAATAATCCAGGTAAAACCAGTACAGCATACAATAATCCCGGTAGCATTATATAAATCCTTCCTTCCCAAGAACTAGACGACACATAGGCTGGAAGTCAACTGAGGTTTTAATCACAGGTCACTGTATTTATGGGATTCCCCATGAAAGGGGTTTCCTTATTGACTTTACAGGGGTTGTACAGTAGGGGACTACATTGGGGACTTAACATACAGAACATTTCTCCCACCATGCACTGCTGTACGAGAGTGATACTCCCACTAAAATATCCTGTTAAGTAGATGATCCCTCCGTACAGCAGAACCGGCCTTTCACATAAAAATCTGTAACTTACATATTATTCGTGCCCTTGTACCGAATTACCGTTCAGCAGATAGCTGGGGACTGAGCGCATACTTCGTGAAAGTGCCGCTCAGATCCCAGCACAATCAGCAAAACGCCGCACGAAATACACTTCAATATACATTCCTCATAAAAGTCACAAATACACAAGTGGGGAAAAAGTACCGAAAGACCGGCGCTTCCGAACGGCCTGGAAGTCCAGCGGTGTTCGTGCCGTCGAGTAGCCGATTTTAGTTCCAGACACTCAACGACCACCGCTGGGCAAAAACTGAATCCAAGATGGCAGCCGCCACGTGGTTGGTAGCCGAACGACGGCCACCCTTTGAATCAATTAACAGCCGATGGATACATTGTTGCAATCGGTTAATGGGAGCCACACGACACCCTGTGTGTGGGGTGCCATTCGGTACTTTATTCGTTTCACGAACGGTGTTGAAAATCACTGTTCGTGAAACTACCATATGAATGCTAGCGGCTTTTGTGCCACTAGCATACGAATTCCCTCTTTCACATTTTAAGCAACCACATCAAACATCATATATAAACCAGTCTTTCTAGGGCAACCCTCAAAGATTAACATAATAGTCTGAAGTGGCTAGGTTTGCCACATGCAGCCCTCAAATTGTATATTACCCAGTTCTCTGGAGCGGTTCATGATGGTGGTTCATGTCGCAACATTCATGGTAACCACTATAATGTCTCTTGGGACACCCTGTGGTGCCGCTGCCGCATTGCTACTCGGAAGGCAGTTGTTATTAGGGCTCGGTCTGCTCTCCCTTTAATTCCAATGGAAGCTAGAAGCCTCTGGGTGAAGGACCTCAAGGCCCCCCCTCCAATATTCTCTGGGGTACCTCTCAGGCGTATGTTGCGTCGTCTATGCCTGGTTTTGAGTGCTGTGATGGATTTTGTGAATATTTGCACCTTCTGGGACAGGCTGTCTCCTTGAATCTGGGTGTTCTGCAGTTTACTCTCCCAGGCATTTGCTTTAGCTTCCATTGCCTCTTTTTGTTGTTGGACTCCCACCTCCTTTTGTGCCTCCAGGAGGTCAGCCTTCCCGGCCTCCCCACATCTTTTAGGAGGCTTTTAATAACCCCTTTAATGGCTGGAGTCTTCATCGTCCTCTGAGTCTTGATAGACACTTGCCGCTTGGGGAGAGGGTAGCTCCTCACTGCCTCTGTGTGATCCTTCTGAGGCTTCCTCCTCAGACCGCGCTTCAGGCGCCATCTTGTGTGAGCTGGACAGAGCTGGTCTCTCAAAAGAGAGCCCGATCTCAGTCATTTTGGGGGTCTCAGTGTACTGGAATCGTTTGTGCTTGTGTCCCATGATGTCTCCCTGAGGGTAGGTAGTTTCTAGGGTCCTGTGGAGCTTTTGAGTCTCTTTCATGGCTGTTATTCTAAATTTTGGACGGAGCTCCACTGGAACATGTCTGTGCTGTAGCTTAGTCGGCCACGCCCCCCCCATTTCTTTGTTTTGACCAACCTGGCTGGCAAATACCATAAGTCAGGCAACAGCCATGTTTGCTCTACTTATGCCATCTCTACCTACGCCTACTCTGACTTGAATTCTGTCACTGAGGCATTTTTATTTATGTGGGTGAAGGCCCTTTACTGGAGATCTTTGGGTATAGCTCCATCTTCTCTCATTCAGTATATCTAAATAGCACATTTCAGTTTATAGGCCTATGGAGGAAGTAGTAAGTCTCCCACATTTTTACAGCGGGATTAATATTTGAGAAAGAATCCTACACTGTTTTACTAAGAAGTGTCAATATGAGTTACGACACATTTTTGTATATAAACTTTGAGTTTATTGAGCACCTATTCTTTTTATTTATTTTTACAAAAACTGGTATAGAGATCAAAAATGCCCTTCTTTGCCACATTGATAAGAATTGGTGTAGATAATCAGTCTTTTTAAATCATTGATATAACCACTATACATATTTTTAACCCCTTACGGACCAAACTTCTGGAATAAAAGGGAATCATGACATGTCACACATGTCATGTGTCCTTAAGGGGTTAAAGGACAAATAAAAAATTAAAGGCTCACTTTAGGTACACTATATAAACAACTTTAGTATAATGAGGCGGTTTTGGTGTATAGATCATGTCCCCGCACTCTCACAGCCCAATTCTCTGCCATTTTGGAGTGAAATCACTTTTGTTTCGGTTTATGCAGCCCTCGCTACACCTTTTCTGGCTGTGGCTAACACATCCAACATGGAAAGGAAAATTTTCACTTTAAATTGTATATTAACTTGATATAGCAGATCGTTACCGATATACACTACTGGCAGAGGTGAAACCATCTTACAAATGTGCTTTATTCTAGGACAGAAATCTGACTGCGATCACGCATCATCACTGGAATTGTCCTGATTCCTACACTGTTGGGCAGGAATCAGGACAATTCCTGATTCCAACACTGTAATACCCACTTTTCCCACCAATCTAGATTTAGAAGATGATTTTTGAATGCTACATAGAATATAAATGACATAAAAACTATAAAGAAACAAATACTATTTACACCTTGTCTGTGCAAAACAAAAATGCATTAATACAGTTTAATTTAAGGGTTGATCATTATTCTTTCTTTTATAAATAAGGCAACAATGAGCTAAAAAAGAGAAACTGCTTTCTGTTGCAGGTGAATGATCTGATGCCTAGTAAGAGATGATTTACAACTACATCTACTACATTCAGAACAGAGTAATGGCTTCTCTCCTGTGTGAACCCGTACCTGAGATTTAAGCATTGCTTATAGAATAAAACATTTCCCACATTCAGAACGGGGTAATGGCTTCTCTCCTGTGTGAACCCATACCTGAGAATGACACATTGCTTATAGAATAAAACATTTCCCACATTCAGAACGGGATAATGGCTTCTCTCCTGTGTGAACCCATACCTGAGAATGACACATTGCTTATAGAATAAAACATTTCCCACATTCAGAACAGAGCAATGGCTTCTCTCCTGTGTGAACCCATACATGAGAATTACGCATTGCTTCGTGAATAAAACATCTACCATATTCAGAGCAACAGAATGGTTTCTGATTTGTGCGAATCAGTGAATACGAGCAAGATGTGCTTTTTTTCTGTAAAACATTTCCCACATTTAGAACATAAAAATGGCTTCGACCCTATGTAAATCATCCAACGTTTAAGATCCACCTCCTGACCAAAGAATTTCCCACATTCAGGACACAAAAGTGGTTTCTCTTCTGAGTGAGTATTATATTGTCTGTGAAGATCACATATTAGACTGATAAAATCCCACATTCAGAGCAAGAAAACGGTTCCTGTGTGAATCCTTTGATGTAATTCAAGAATTGACTGCAGTTTGAAACATTTTCCACATTCAGAACAAGGAAGCGATATCTTTCCTTGACAAGTCTTCGAAGGACCTGATTAAATGCTGTTTCTGGTAAGCGCAATGATGCTGGAAGGAATTTCCGTTCCAGTGGAACAATTTCCCACAATCAGAACAAGTAACTTTCTTTCTTTAATGGATTCACTAAGTAGAAAGATTGATTGAGATATTTCCTATTCACTATACTGTGCACCCCAATAAACGCTGGAATTTGAACCTATGTATTGGTGAGATCTGTTTCTTCACATAATGTAGAAGTATCTGTAGTGTTTTTTATAAATGCCTTTGTCTGTGAGTTCCATTTTCCCTTAAAGTTAACTCTATCAATGTTTGTGAGATTTCCCACTTCACACAAGGCTGAGTCCACCATAGTATGTTAATATTCTTTGTCTGTAAGATTTCCTTCTAGAGATGGTTCCTCCTTAATAGGAGTAGATGGGGTTTCTGTCTGTTGTGTGGGTGTATAGATGTTGCTGTCTTTGACATGTCCTTCACATGAGGCTGATTCCTCTTTCGTATGCGGTGATATGGATTGGGTTTTGGTTACCATCAGGGGTGCGCAAAGGGTAGATCCTCGGATATTTTAAAACTACAGCTTCCATGATACGTTGTCATTCTACAGGCAAAGCATCATGGAAGCTGAAGTTCTACAAATCTGGGAATCTGTCTTTTGGGCACCCCTGGATTACAGGGCTGTGATCTCAATCACTATCAGTCCGGTTCATGGAACTATCTCTAATGGAAATAAATATATACTGCATTAGATGTTTCCCAAATGCTAGTATCCATCTATATATCCAGGGTATATAGCGTTGTATGGACATGTAGCATGAAAAGGGAACCTATAGTAACATCAAACGGGAAACTTAACAAAACAAAGGGCAGAAAAAACATTATGTATAAACCAACATAGCCAAAGAGCACCTACCTACCTAGAGAATTGATCGAACCACTATAGGCATCCAGACCACTTCAGCTCAATGAAGAGGTGTGGGTGCCAGGTCCATCTAGGTTTAACCCTGCCTGCTGTAAACATAGCAGTTTCAGAGAAACTGCTATGTTTCACTGAGGGGTAATCCAGCCTCTAGTGGCTGTCTCATTGCCAGCTGCTAGAGGCGCTTCTCATTGTGATTTTCACAGTTAGAAGACGCCAGCGACTGACTGTGCGCATTTAGCCGATGACAACCGAAGGAGGAGAGTCCCCAGCGCCGAGGGAGCCCGGCGCTGGAGAAAGGTAAGGGATTAACCCCTTCCTCCAACTTCCGCTCGGCGGGTGGGGGCAAGATGTATACACACTCTTCTTAATACAAATAGCCTACATACTGTCTCAACAAACACAAAACCACTGACAAGCCACATACATGCACGCAGCCCCACATGTACACACACGAGCAAACACACAATGTGACCTACAGTGGCGTACACATGACCCATGGAGCCCCGGTGCAAAAATTGATCCGTGGGCTCCCCCCGCACTTACTCTGCGCGGGCCGGAGCCGCAACACATGGCGGCCGGCACCTGGTTTCAGGGCTGCGACCGTGGTATGTACGCCAGTGCATGAAGATGTACACACACTTAAAGGACCACCCAGATCACATCAGCTCAATGAAGTGGTCTGGGTGCCAGGTCCCTCTAGTTTTAACCCTGCAGCTGAAAACCTAGCAGTTTCAGAGAAACTGCTATGATTCACTGAGGGTTAAGCCAGCCTCTAGTGGCTGTCTCATTGATTAAGTAATGCTTTCCTATGGGCGGCTTGAATGTGCCGCGCATGCGGAGCTGAGAGGCGGAGGGATCCCCAGCGCCAAGGGAGTCCGGCGCTGGAGAAATGAAAGTGCTGAAGACACACAAACACACACTCTCACGAACAGACTCATACACAATGGCTAACAGACACACACATTTACTGACCGAGACACACTCAGCGACAGACATACATACACTCTCACAAACACACACTCTAACACAAACACACACTAACACAATATTGTTTTTTTAAATTTAATCCCCCAGCCTCCTTACCTTTTGGAGTGCTGAGGGTATTCCCTGGGGTCCAGTGGTGCTCCTGGGCGGCCGGTCCTGCCGGCTGTCTGTCTGGCGGGCGCTCGAGGGAGCACTCTCCCCTGAGTGCTTCCTCTTCAGCTCCCTTGCGCGCATCACTGATACCAGAGCCGGAAGATTACGTCATCTTCCAGCTTCGGTATCAGTACGGTGCTCCCTCGCGTGCCCACCAGCGGCCAGCCTCGGGGGGCCCTGAGGTGGCCGGCTCCTGGGCCCCCCAGGGGAAGAGGCTGGCCACAGTGGGTACATACCAGGTTGCAGGGTGGCCGGGCCCCTTGGTGGGCTGGGCCCGGTTGCAGCCACGACCCCTTTATGTACGCCACTGGTGACCTATCATCCACACACAGCCCACATTCATAGATACCATACACAGTACCACAAACTACACCAGAACATATACACTATAAGAGCCCACATATGCACAAATACAACATTACAAAGCAACTGCCGCCCGCGTAAATAACACAAGCACAATAGGGCAATACACACACCTCAATTTAATGAAATCAGACCAAGAGACGTCAGCATCTTGTTGTGGCACAGTACTCCTAAGGTTGCCTGCCCCTGTTCTAGGATTGTTAGTTTGCTGTACCAATATAGTCTTATAATCATAATTAAGAAGAGCTTGCGTGGATCTGTCATTTGGGTCCAGTGGTGTTGCTGTGAGGGCTGGCAGTCTACTAATGCTGGTAGCCAGAATTACGTCATAAGGGTTTCCTCCAACCAAAAATCAGTTTCTTCATAAAAACCTGTTTTGGTTAGAGTAACCCTTTGTGGGTAGGCTCTTCCCCAAATTGAGTTTTTTGTTTTTTTTAGTATCACTCCAATGGCCATTTTTGGATAGTGCACAAAGTGCATGCTTTTAAAAAGCTACCATTAAACATTGTAACGGTCTCCTAGTAGTCCAGCTCGATGCCCATCTCAATGTAATCTGTCATTCGGAGGTGAGATGTAGTGAGTGATTACCCCACACCATGAGTGGAGACTATATGTAGAAGCTAAACAGAACTCCCTTTATTACAACTTTGTGGAGATATTTATACCAGAAGAGGGTAATTTTGCATACAATAATGTAATTAACAGAACATCAACATACATAAGTCCTCTTCCCATAACTCCTTGCTTTTCTTGCTGAAACCAACTGTTAGCCCCACCAAAGGACCATTTTGTCCATTTCATTCTTGTTAACAAAATATGTGGATAGAATACAAAGGTCTTTGTTGTCTATAAGACCAACATGACCATTAGATTTAGTTCAAGACCATTAAATAAGGTTCAAACAACCTGAAATATATAAAAAGGGAAAAAGAAATGAGCTGGATATAACAAAAAACACTCCTTACGGGGGTAACCCTGGAAATTGAATTAGCAAAAGGAAAAAAGAAGAGTGGAGTGTCTTTTACACAAGATATAGGGAAGAGTAGATACTGGTAGTTGTAAGGAGAAGAGAGATCAGTAGCTATGCCAGTGGTGATAGTCTGATGAAGATGCAAACATAATTATAACTACAAATAGAGACGTAAAGAGTAATACAAACCTACCTCCACTGAAACTATAGCCCTATTTGTGCCTTCAAGTGCACCTAGAGAAATTCTCAATACTAATGCTGTTGCTAAAGTTCCTATAACACTATAATGCGGGTCCTATCTGTGCCTTCAAGGGCACCTAGAAAAATTATATACTAACTCTAGAGCTAGTGTCTCCCTTCCTCCTAAAAAAAATCACTAAAAGTGCCAAATAATAAAAAAGAAAAAAGTGAAGCGATGATAAAAGTGAAAAATAAGACAAATGATCCCATCAAAAAAAAATTATCTAATAGTTCTGTTCGTTAATACAGTCTGATCTCGTTAGTAGATGGGTATCATAAGAGGAGCCCCTGACATGCGCGTTTCGCCAACCGGCTCGTCAGAGGCTGTCACAAGAAAGTAGCCGGTATTTAAAAGAGGAACGGTATTCCTGATTGGTGTGATCTGAATTCACAAAATCCAATCAGCTTTCACACAGATGGCATAATTCAATTTTAGTTGTTACGATAGAGATTGATTTAACGGTTGGTTTTCAGGGGATATTTAACTAAATTCAGTTTTCGGAATTTTGCCTATATGTCCATTTTTCTTTGTCAGGTGTTGTGAGTGAAAAATACAGAATAATATTTATCACTAATAATCCTTTTGAGGAAAACATGGACATATATGATAGAATTTAGAAAAATCCTATGCAGTTAATCATCAAAATATAGTGTAAAAAGAGGTAAAAGCGCACTCAGTAATACCAAAGAAAGGGGTTACCTGTATTATATACAATTATGATAACCAGCAGTAGATGATCTTGGTATATACTTGAACAGATACAGTGGATAAAATCTATATAAATATACAATAAAACAAACACAACATAGTGTAATCTGCAAACAATGTAGATAGTAGGTAATTAAAAGCTAAAACCACTCACAATATATTGAGCCAGTTGGAAGTTGGCTCAAAACGTATCCGGCATATATATATAATACAGGTAACCCCTTTCTTTGGTATTACCGAGTGCGCTTTTACCTCTTTTTACACTATATTCTGGTTCTTTTAAAGTATATGTGGTGACAATATACTTTGGTATTTTAACCGCACCGTTTTTCCTTTTAGCGCCACCTATATTCTTTTTAAACACTGGTTAATCATCATTGATTAATGATAATAATGGTGTGCAGAATCATGTTAGCCTCTAAAATGGATGTAAAATGATATGCTGAATTGTCCATAGTTCTTCTCTTAGAGCTTAATATTTTAATACATCAAAACTGTTTTGGTTTTCATAAAAAGAACCATTTATGTTTAATGTATTTGGATCAAGTCTGCATTCCAGTTAAAATATCCCCTACCCAAGATTCGTAGACGTATGGAGATATGTATCAAACCAAGCTGATATATTGAAAAGTAACTGTAAAGAAATCCCTAAGTTCTTTTGTTTATTTTATTTTCCTTCATTCGGTAGTTGTAACTACCGAACAGAGACCACCCCCCGGCTCGTTAACTTCAAAGCGTACCTCAATTAAGCCCCCTGTGCGGCCGCCGTTCGTATTGTCGAACGCCACATGGCAGAGAAAACGGTGGCCATCTTGTTTATGCGAACAAAGGCAGCGCGACTTGGTCGTCGAGGGGCTGGAACTAAATTGGACACTCTACTTCCCAAACACCGGTCCCAAACGTCCGAATGCTGGATCTTCGTTTCCCGAACAGCTAGGAGAGCGCTGTTTGGTACTTTTGTGCATACGAATGAGGGGAACAATCGCTGCTTGGAGCCAGGGGAAACCGTTTGTGGGATTATTCGTTTTTTGTAACTTTACGAACTAGACCAGGAAAACCCACCAAACTTGTGGAACTGTTTTGGGCAGGAGCCTCGTGGTTAGCTGGTCACCTAAGACTTCCATGAAATTCGAAAACCCCTGAACTGATCTGGGTGATTTTTGGATATGTTGATCACCCAGATCAGGGCTATCAGGGGATTTTGTGGATATACCTTATGTTTTAAGGGGTGTTCTGAAAGTTGGGTAAAATTGTACATTTTCTGCCTGGAGATAATGAAGTTATTACTTTATCAGACTTGACTATCTCCAGGTCGAGGGGAGGGAATTATGTTTGTACTGGGAGTGTTTAAGTATTTCTTTGCTTATGATTGGCTGCATGATTTATGTTCCTGTGGGAGGTCCCCTTGCACGGGGACTTGCATAAAAGCCAGTGTGGCATCATTAAACCTCAGTTCTGTTATACCCTTCATCTAGACTTCGGCTGATGTTTGGGTATCTGTCTGCTTTACTAAGGGAATGTACTTGGGAAGCTGTTATTCATATGGGAATCACTTATTCTATTTTGCCGAACAGAGAGTTATAATCACTGATACTCTGGCCGTTCGGGAGGAAACTACCGAATGGGTATTGGATATACCAGGTTTCCTTACAGTAATATTTGAGCAAGGTTCATATGTTTCAATTATCTTACTACAAAGAAGTCTGTTCAATTGAGAAGAGATCTCAGAGAGAGCAAAATCCTAAATTTCCTGAAATAAACTGATTTTTAGCTAACTCTATTGTCTTATGTATATTGTTGAGGACAAAGAAAATTTAATTTGATGCAATTAAATTGGTTATTTGTCAAAAGTTACATGTTTATGGATGTTTGAAAGTAATGTATTAAAGGGACACTATAGTCACCAGAACAACTACAGCTTATTGAATTAGTTCTGGTGAGTAGAATCATTACCGTCAGGCTTTTTGCTGTAAACACTGTCTTTTCAGAGAAAATGCAGTGTTTACATTACAGCCTAGTGATAACTTCACTGGCCACTCCTCAGATGGCTGTTAGAGATCCTTCCTGGGTCATGGCTGCCTAAAATGCATCCAAACATTCCGTGTCTCCTCCCTCTGCATGCAGACACTGAACTTTCCTCATAGAGATTCATTGATTCAATTCATCTCTATGAGGAGATGCTGATTGGCCAGGGCTGTGTTTGAATCATGCTGGCTCTGCCCCTGATCTGCCTCTTTGTCAGTCTCAGCTAATCCTATGGGGAAGCACTGTGATTGGATCAGGCCACCACTTCTGATGATGTCAGCAGGCTGCATATTTTTCTGACTAACAGCATGCAGATTTACAGCTTCAGGCTTGAATACAGTAAGATTTTTACTATATTTATGGAGGCATGATGGGTCCAGATGGTGGCTTTAACACCATAGGGTCAGGAATACACATCTGTGTTCCTGACCCTATAGTGATCCTTTAATAATGCTCTTTGGAGTTTTATTCTGAATCTAAACCTAAATTATGTCTAAACATGTTGTGAGGAACACTGAAAATTGCCTTAATGCAGGGGTTCTCGTTAGTCCTCAGGACCCCCTCCCAGTCCAGGGTTTAGGGATTACCTGGGTGTGTCTAAGGTGTTTAGAAAAAGAAAAAAAAACACCTTAGAGTCTAAGGTGTTTTTTTCCCTTTTTTTAAAACACCTGAGACACACCCAGGTAATCCCAAATCCTGGACTGGTAGGGGGTCCTGAGGACTGGGTAGAGAACCCCTGCCTTAATGGATAAAAGGTGTAAAATTTCATTCTTACAGGGGATAGGTTCTGGAACTGGTGAATCCATCTCAATTTTTTTTTTTTTTTTGTAATATAGTGTTAAAGTTGCCTTGTTTTGAATTTAATGAAATCAGTTCTAACGATTCGAAAGAAAGGTGTGAGGGATTTCCATCATGGAAGTTTCTTATATGATTTGCCACAGGGTTAATGAGGTTAGTATTCTTAACACAATTGACGCGCTGTAATATTTGTCTGCGGAATTGTTGGTAAGTCTTACCGATTTATTGAAGTCCGCAGCTGCATTTCATTACATAAATTACACAATTATGATTAAATAATTAAATTACAATTTATGAAGTTGTTGATTTCAAATTTTTGTGATGTCCTAGTACATTTTATTGTCTGAGAGGGTTTTATAAAGCTACAGGCTTTACAATGTCCACATTTCAAAATACCCTTGGTTTTAGTCAACCACATATGGGAGGGTATTTTAGTTTTGACATGACTTTCAAAATGACTATGTACCAAGATGTCTCTTAGATTTTCTGATTTCCTGGTTATGTTAGGATAGGGTATTTTATCTGGTTCAATGTCCTTGTCGTGTTTCAAGATGGGACAGTTACATGAGAAAATTTATTTTATAGATTCCCATCGTGGATCGAAGGTTCCTAAGCAACTTATGCCTACTTCAGAAAAGATACATCATTAGAACAGTTTCTTACCACTCCATAGCCTCAAGGCCCATAGCTACTGATCTCCATTCTCCTTCTTACCTTTGTATATAGCTTTTTGAACATCCTCTAATATATATATATTATTTTAGCAATTATTAATAAAAGCTAAGTTTTAACAACTACCAGTATCTACACTTCCCTATATCTTGTGTAAAAGACACTCCACTCTACTTTTTTTCCTTTTGCTAACCTGAAATATACATTTAAGAATACAACAACAATGCCCCTTGTAAAATTTCCACCCAAGCAAGAGGAACCCCTGCCCATCAAGCCTGGGTCCATGACACAAGGGATGCACCATTATCACAGTGATTGCCACCAATAATTGCGCCATTTTAAATGTCCCAGTATGGCATGATTTATATGGATACTGTGGTGATAATGGGGTAAGAGAGGTAGATGGATTTCTGTTAACTATTTTCATCACTCTTATCCAAACACTGTCTAGCTGAGAATGATGGCACTGATAGTCTATATTTGGGGCCAGTGTCTGAATGTATCCTGTGTGTGATTAATAGTATAAGCAGCTTGACAAAGACCTGGGTGCAGGTCAAAACATTGCTGTGCACTTGATGTTCCATTGAAACCTGCTTATACTTTAATACAGTGAGTGCCTGAGCATTTTTCTTTATATTCGTACAAGCTGTCACTAATGAAGAAGGGAAGTAACACGGTCTGACAAATTAAAGCTCATTACCATTCTGTGTTTTGTCAATTTCCAACACAAATATAAGTTAAATGTATCCCTACATTGCCTCATGTATGGCTTTATTTCACAGGAATGTCATTGATGCTACTGGGACTATAAATTTCACCCCTTCCCATTACCTATAGGATGTTTCTCAGCCCCCACTTTTCTCACTCATCCAATCATATTTATTCTTCACTTTTATGCTTTTTCCTTTTCTTTAATTTTTCACACCCCAAGTTCCATAATCGTATTCTATTAACCTATCACAACACAAGGTGGATATGGATTAAATACATTTTATTGTTGCCATCATGATAACCTTAATTAAATAGTATCTAAGTAGTTACTCGATTTATTGTAGTTAATCTCTTAGGCACTAGAAGTAGGCCCTGGAAATTGACCCATCCAACATTGTGGTCAACGCTGGTCTCCCGGGCATGGAAGAAAATTGCTGTTTTATATCCTTCCATAGGAAGGGAAGCCATTCAATGAAAGCCTATTCACATCTGCTGTTGATGCTGTCTGTTTAAACTTGTTTGACCTTCGTAAATACTCACGTACCTTACAATGAACACCTACGGAATGCTCATCACTGGTCATCAGCATTGTAATGACTTAATTTAAAGGCACACTATAGGATCAGGAACACAAGCATGTATTCCTGACCTTATAGCATCCATCATTTAGAGAGCTTGCTTCCACCTCCCCACTCCCCTTAACAGGTAAGTAAATCTACCTTATTTCCAGCACCATGCGGGTCTGCCGGCACTGGCCCATCCATGATCCACCTCCTTGGCAGATCATCAGAATTGATTTCAGCCAAACAAATGCTTTCCCATCCGAAATGCATTGGATTGGCTGAAATCGTCAAGCAGACTGGTCAAGGCCAAACGCCGCCCTGGCCAATAAGCATCTCGTCATAGAGATGCATTAAATCAGTGTATCTCTATGGGGAAAGTTCTGCATCACCGTACAGAGCATAGAGAAGCTGAACATCAGTGGCAACACACTGTGCAGCACTGACCCAGATAGCACCTCTAGTAGCCATCTGAGAAATGACCATTGGAGGTTTTCCTAAGCTTTAACCCCTTAAGGACCAAACTTCTGGAATAAAAGGGAATCATGACATGTCACACATATCATGTGTCCTTAAGGGGCTAAGGTAAATACTGGCAGTATTTACCAGAACAATTACATTAATCAGCAGTTGTTATGGTGACTATAGTGTCCCTTTAATTTAAAGGAATTAGAAATTATGAATTAGAAACTTTAGATTATAAAAATCCCCATGTCAAAAAACTGGCTCCTTGTCCGTGTGATTCTTCTGATGTAACTTAAGATAAGAATTCCGAGTAAAAGATTTTCCACAAAGGTCACAAAAATATGGTTTCTCTCCTGTGTGAATCCTCAGATGAGAATTAAGATTTCCCTTCCGACTAAAACACTTCCCACATTCAGAGCAAGAAAATGGTTTCTCTCCTGTGTGAATCATCAGATGTTTCTGAAGATCAGATGACTGACTAAAAGATTTGTCACATTCTGTACATGAAAATGGTTTCTCTCCTATGTGACCTAGTAGATGGAGTTTGACCATTGACATGTCATAAAAAAGTTTCCCACATTCAGGACAAGAAAAATATTTTTCTCTGCTCGGAACATGTTGATGTTTAGAAATATATTTTCTCTTCAAAAAAGATTTATCATGTTCAAATAGAGAGAGTGTTTTCTCTCCATGGGCAGTTGGTTGAGGGCTCATGGAAGGAGATTTTTGATGAAAAAATGGATGTCTAATAAACCCTTCTTTAGAGCTGACTTCGGTCTCACATTCAGAAGAAGTATTTTCTTCATGATTTCTTTGATATTCAGCAAATTCTGACATAGGGCCTTCAAAGATCTTACCATTTGCCTTGTTTTGCATCTTATTAAAATGTCCTTCATCCCATAAGACTGATCGCTCTTTAATATAAGCTAAAGGTTCCTTCTCTGTATGTTCTATGGATGCATAAATTTCAGTGTCTGTGAGATTTCCTTCTACCCATAGAGCAAAGCTCTCCCTCAAATGGTTAGACGGATATTCTGTCTGTGAATCTTTTGGGGGTTTATACATTTGTCTGTCTATGAGAGTCCCTTCTTCACACGTGTCTGATTCCTCCTTGATACGAGTAGATGGATATTCTGTCTGTACTGTGGGTATAATTTCAGACGCTGTGAGATTCCTTTCTTCCCATGAGGCTGGATCCTCCTTAATATGAGAAGATGGATATTCTGTCTGTACTGTGGGTGTATTAATGTCAGTGTCTGTGAGATTATCCTCTCTACACTGGGTGGGTTCCTCCTTGATAGGAGTTGACGGATACGGTGTCTGTTCTGTGGGTGTGATAATGTCAGTGTCGGTAAAATGTATGTCTTCTCGTGAGGCTGATTCCTCCACATTAGAAGTAGATGGGGATTTTGTTTGTGAACATTCTTTCAGTGAGTAAATATCTCCATCTGGTAGATTTCTTTCTTCATATAAAGCTGTTTCAGATTTCACAGATTCACTTGGTCTCTTACTTAGTTCATTAAATGTCATAGAATTTCCTCCCTGATCATCTGCGACTCTACCTTCAGTCACACAATTTGCTGACAGAACATGGATGGGTAAATCATCCGTTTCACTTGTGTTTAGAGAGCCATTTGCTGAAAAAAAAAAGCACAAATAGAATTACAAACCTTCCTTTTATCCCTTTAATTGCAAGTTCTGTAAATATGCTACAAGATACATTATCTAGAGCAGGGGTTCCCAATTAATTGACATAGTGTACCAACAACGTGGAACCCCCCAAAAAGGTTTGTGCCATTGTGAAAACCTTTTAATTAGCGGAGGTTTTTTTTGTTTTTTACAGGAACATTAATTTCTTTGGTATGCATACACATTTCTACAGATAGTAAGACTGTAGTACATGTGTGCTTTTGTAAGTAGAGTTGGTGTTTGTATATAATGTTATAATACAGGGGGGTGTTTTTATGTAATGTTTACATTTGCGTGCAGGGGTGTTTGGATGTAGTGATGGCTTTTAAATGTGGATGTACATTTATGTGTAGTATTAGTGTTTGTATATACATTTGGCGTTTTAATTCAGGGGTGTTTTTGTATGTAATGTTTGCGTTTGCATGTTTGCATGATACATACAAACCCATTCATTTACAAACTGACACATACCGATGCAAAGACACACACTGACACACAGATACGCACACTGGCACACACTCCGATAAACACAGTGACAAATACACACATTGACACACAAATACAAACACTGACACATACACACACTCAGATAAGCACACTGGCACACTCAGATACACAGTGACACAGCTACACAAATCTGACACACGTTAAAATATTTGTATATGCAGCCACCCTCCTGCTATATTATTTTTGTGCCTAGGAGGGTGGCTTACTTGGGATTCTGGTCCTGGCTAAGGCTGATGGGGAGTGAGCATGCAGCGTCTCCTCTGTTTTCATGCTGCTGTGTGCACTGCCGCTGCCTCCTCCTTCCTTACTCCAGTCCTCCCACGCAGCTCGCTCTGTGAAGCTTGGAGGGTCCCTGTTCAGCAATATTACCCAATCAGGTGGCCCTAAGTGCATGGGCCACTCAATGGGCAAATCCTGGTGAAACCCCAATTTTGTTCCCACAAACAATTGGGAAATGCTGAGCAAGAGTTTGGTGGTAAAATATTGAGCTATGCTGTCACAGCATGTACAAAGCATTTGGACAGAAGAGGAAAGAAATTACTCAAGGGCACAGTGAATAAAGTACCAACATCTATAAATGTCTCGCTACTCTGCAGCAGCCTCTCCAAACGGATACAGTCTTCACTGACCGCAGTTTATGCCCATTTATTATTTTATTTAAAAGAACACTGCAGGTGCCATAACAACTTCAGCACACCAAAATCCTTATTGTGCCTGGAGTGCCCTGGGCCCCTAATTGTAAGCAAATCATTTTTAGACATTAGACAATATTAAAATGCTCATGTGGCAAACCTAGCCACTTCAGATTATGTTGTTAGATGTCTAAATGTTGTCCTAGAAAAGCTGGTTAAATTCTGTTAGTTTATGTATTCGCTTATAACTGTAATAGAGAGCAATCGTATGCTAGCGGCCGAAAGCCGCTAGCATCCATATGGTAGTTTCACGAACAGTGACTTTCCACACTGTTCGTGAAACTAATAAAGTACCGAATGGGAGCCCACACACAGGGGGTCGTGTGATTCCCATTAACCAATTGCAACATTGTATCAATCGGCTGCTAATTGATTTCCTGGGTGGCCGTCGTTTGGCTACCGACCACGAGGCGGCTGCCATCTTGGATTTCCTTTTTGCCCAGCGGTGTTTGGTCGCCGAGTGCCTGGAACTAAAATCGGCTACTCGACGGCACGAACACCACTGGACTTCCAGGCCGTTCGGGAGCGCCGATCTTTCTGTACTTTTTCCCCACTTATGTATTCATGACTTTTATGATGAATGTATGTTAAAGTATATTTCGTGCGGACTTCGGCTGATTGTGTGGGGAACTGAGCGGTACTTTCACGAAGTGTGCATTCAGACCCCAGCTATCTACCGAACGGTCATTCGGTACAGTGACATGAATAAAATAAAAGTTATGGATTTTATATAGAGTATCCCTCTCGTACAGCAGTGCATGGTGGGAGAAATACTCTGTTTATTCAGTTCCCCATGTAGTCCCCTACTGTACAACCCCTGTAAAGTAATTAAGGAAACCCCTTGCATGGGGAATCACATAAATACTGGATCTGTAAATAAAATCGTCAGTTGACTCCCAGAACTGTGTTTGGTTCGGTTACTGGGGGATTTGGGATATTGCCTTCATTTTCCGCGCTTTCCTTGGATTACTTTCTGTCCCAGCAGAGATATTGGGATTTAATATTGCAGCTCTGCTACAACTCATTTTGTGTAAGCCCTACTTAGGCTGAGAATTGTTATAATGTTCCTCTATTAGAAAAGTATTATCTTTCAGAAGTATTGTGTTTGTACTTTTGCTGCATAATTGGGTGATTGTATTGATAGGATAGTTTGGGAAGAGATGTGCACTTCTGGAACATTCAAACTTGGTTTGGTTTTTAGTTTTTGTTTTTTTTAATTCCAGATACAACTAGCATTTCTTACTGAACTCTCGGTTGTCTGTATGGCTCCCAAAATTATAGCGTGGTGCTGTTTTAAAGAGACGTCAGAACTCTTCAGTGTCAAGATGCGAAATGCAGCCGCAAAATGACCGGATGAACTGATCGCAAATTGGCAATGTAAGAGCAATGGGATGTGAAAGGACCCACAGAGATGATGATAAACATGAGACTAACAGTCTATATATTCAAGCATGATATTGAAATGGATCAGCATTTTATTTGTTAGGCACCTGAAAGACTCAGTTTGAAATAAGGGAATTGCACTCCAGGTTTCCTCCACTGGATGATGGGGTTTAGGCATCTCAAACTACCCCGAGGAGTGTCGCCTGGAGATACCTGTGCCAGTATGATTGCGAGTGGTTAACTTAACATTTGTATATAGTATAATAGTTAATACTTTAACTCTGTGTTCTATTATGGAGTCGGAAGGCTCTGTGATCGCTGTTTATTGCCTTTCATTGCTCTATTCCTGCCTTGTGTCTCTGGAAAGGCAAATGTGCATTGCTCCCAGGATTCTACTCTACTTTCCTACACAGAGGTTATTTAGAAACCTATAATGTGACGGCAGATAAGAACCATTCGACCCATCTAGTCTGCCCAATTTTCTAAATACTTCCATTAGTCCCTGACCTTATCTTATAGTTAGGATAGCCTTATGCCTATCGCATAAAACATAAGTCAATCCTAGGTTTTTATTTGTATGTTAATACATCCTCACTCATATCGATCAGGCTGTATAACTGCACGTATAACACAAGCTGTGTATATAAAGTGCTTCCTCTTACCCAGTGAGCTGAGAGGCTGGTGAGTGTCCATCATTAAGTCATTGTAAGGTTCCTTGTGTCCTTCTAAATACTTCCACACCTACAAGGAAAATAAACAGTTACATCCTCACACCTAACAGGAACCTGGCACACACAATGATACAGTCACCATCCAGACACATCCTCACACCTAACAGGAACCTGGCACACACAATGATACAGTCACCATCCAGACACATCCTCACACCTAACAGGAACCTGGCAGTCACAATGATACAGTCACCATCCAGACACATCCTCACACCTAACAGGAACCTGACACACACAATGATACAGTCACCATCCAGTCACATCCTCACACCTAACAGGAACCTGACACACACAATAATACAGTCACCATCCAGACACATCCTCACACCTAACAGGAACCTGGCACACACAATGATACAGTCACCATCCAGACACATCCTCACACCTAACAGGAACCTGGCACACACAATGATACAGTCACCATCCAGACACATCCTCACACCTAACAGGAACCTGGCACACACAATGATACAGTCACCATCCACACACATCCTCACACCTAACAGGAACCTGGCACACACAATGATACAGTCACCATCCAGTCACATCCTCACACCTAACAGGAACCTGGCACACAATGATACAGTCACCATCCAGACACATCCTCACACCTAACAGGAGCCTGGCACACAATGATACAGTCACCATCCAGTTACATCCTCACACCTAACAGGAACCTGACACACACAATGATACAGTCACCATCCAGACACATCCTCACACCTAACAGGAACCTGACACACACAATGATACAGTCACCATCCAGACACATCCTCACATCTAACAGGAACCTGGCACACACAATGATACAGTCACCATCCAGACACATCCTCACATCTAACAGGAACCTGGCACACACAATGATACAGTCACCATCCAGTCACATCCTCACACCTAACAGGAACCTGGCACACACAATGATACAGTCACCATCCAGACACATCCTCACACCTAACAGGAACCTGACACACACAATGATACAGTCACCATCCAGACACATCCTCACACCTAACAGGAACCTGGCACACACAATGATACAGTCACCATCCAGACACATCCTCACACCTAACAGGAACCTGACACACACAATGATACAGTCACCACCCAGCCACATCCTCACACCTAACAGGAACCTGACACACACAATGATACAGTCACCATCCAGACACATCATCGCACATAACAGGAACCTGACACACAATGATACAGTCACCATCCAGACACATCCTCACACCTAACAGGAACCTGACACACACAATTATACAGTCACCATCCAGACACATCCTCACATCTAACAGGAACCTGACACACAATGATACAGTCACCATCCAGACACATCCTCACACCTAACAGGAACCTGACACACACAATGATACAGTCACCATCCAGACACATCCTCACACCTAACAGGAACCTGACACACAATGATACAGTCACCATCCAGACACATCCTCACACCTAACAGGAACCTGACACACAATGATACAGTCACCATCAGACACATCCTCACACCTAACAGGAACCTGGCACACACAATGATACAGTCACCATCCAGACACATCCTCACACCTAACAGGAACCTGGCACACACAATGATACAGTCACCATCCAGACACATCCTCACACCTGACAGGAACCTGGCACACACAATGATACAGTTACCATCCAGACACATCCTCACACCTAACAGTAACCTGGCACACAATGATACAGTCACCATCCAGACACATCCTCACACCTAACAGGAACCTGGCACACACAATGATACAGTTACCATCCAGACACATCCTCACACCTAACAGGAACCTGAGACACACAATGATACAGTTACCATCCAGACACATCCTCACACCTAACAGGATCCTGGCACACACAATAATACAGTCACCATCCAGACACATTCCTTGGTTTTACTCTATGATGTCCCATTCCCAGCAGCCTCACCTCTCCAGTCAGCAGGTGGATGATCTGATTGGTCAGTTCCAGGACCTTCTGGTCATTGTTTCTCTCATGTATCAGGGAGTGACGTGGAGGCACTCTGCTGGGGCTCTGGGTCCTGTTCAATCCATCGGGGACACAGGGGCTGTTGCTCTGTAGTATGGACTCAGCAGGCTTCTTCACAACAATGTAACTCTACATAATGAATGGAGGTATAATGTGTATCAATGGAGTTAGAAAAACTCCAGTAAGAATTATCTGCTTTTAACATTCAGTATTTCCCTGCCCATTGCTCACACGATCCTCTCAATTTGCTCAGAAAAGTCACAATGTGACCTCAAATGTATTTCAAGTAAAATAGTTAACTGAAAACAGTAATATGGGATGTAGTTAAATAGCACTAGCGATGTTTGCTAGCAAATGTAGTAAAGTCCTTGTATTTGTACAAATCCGATTCTGTATTTTTTCCTCAGTCTTAAGATGCTATAGTATTTTGGATGCATTCGAAAGGGTTTTATATGTGTGTGTCCTCTTTTTCTCAATTTCACGAGAAGTGCAGATTTCAACACAAATTGGCACTCTTATAAATTAGTCTTGTTACACCCACTAAGCTGTCAATCAGGGAGCCGGACACGTTACTTCCTGGTTGTTTAGCTCAGTAGAATGAAACCTAAGATGCAGCAACTTCCCAAAGCACCTGTTTTGTAAAGACTTCTCATTGAGCTGCACTGGGAAGTCTGATTGGACAGCCACGATCTGGGTGGAGTTAGAAGGGGAATGCTTGCAAAGGCTGCAGGCAAGAGATCTTTAAATATACCCCTAATGGAAAAAGGATAATTAAATTAATGTTTTCATTTGGGGTATATCTACTAAGCAGTTATTTCTTTGTATTTGGACAGTGGAGTGTCACTTTAAATAATGTTGGCAACTGTTTTTTTTTTTTTTTTTATTAAAACACCCACCGTCATGGTTATTTTTCTACGTGTTAAATTTTAGGATATCAAAGTAAAATACATAACATAAAACAGAATTAAGGGATGGAGTTAAATAGTGCTTGGGATGTATGATAGTAAAGGTAGAAAGGTCCCTGTATTTGTAGAAAGCTGATTTTGTCTTTTTTCTTAGTCTTGCGCTGCATCAGTAGTTTGGGTAGGTCCGGGATGGGCTGTTTATCCCATTGCTTTAGAAATGTCAGGTGTTGCTATAAATATTTCTCCGGTAGCTTTAGTCATATCGCCTGTTGCTATAGACATTTTTCCTGTTGCTGTAAACATTCCGCAGTTGCTGTAAATATTTCTCCCTTTACTATAAAGATTTCAGTTGTTGCTATAAACATTTCTCCCATTTCTATAGAAAGATCTCCTGTTGCTAGAAACATTTCAAGTGTTGCTAGAAGCATTGCTGTATCTCCCATTGCTAGATGCATTGCTGTATCTCCCGTTGCTAGAAGCATTGCTGTATCTCCCGTTGCTAGAAGCATTGCTGTATCTCCCGTTGCTAGAAGCATTGCTGTATCTCCCGTTGCTAGAAGCATTGCTGTATCTCCCGTTGCTAGAAGCATTGCTGTATCTCCCGTTGCTAGAAGCATTGCTGTATCTCCCGTTGCTAGAAGCATTGCTGTATCTCCTGTTGCTAGAAGCATTGCTGTATCTCCTGTTGCTAGAAGCATTGCTGTATCTCCCGTTGCTAGAAGCATTGCTGTATCTCCCGTTGCTAGAAGCATTGCTGTATCTCCCGTTGCTGCTAGAAGCATTGCTGTATCTCCTGTTGCTAGAAGCATTGCTGTATCTCCCGAAGCATTGCTGTATCTCCTGTTGTGAAGCATTGCTGTATCTCCCGCTAGAAGCATTGCTGTATCTCCCGTTGCATTGCTGTATCTCCCGTTGCTAGAAGCATTGCTGTATCTCCCGTTGCTAGAAGCATTGCTGTATCTCCCGTTGCTAGAAGCATTGCTGTATCTCCCGTTGCTAGAAGCATTGCTGTATCTCCCGTTGCTAGAAGCATTGCTGTATCTCCTGTTGCTAGAAGCATTGCTGTATCTCCCGTTGCTAGAAGCATTGCTGTATCTCCCGTTTGCTGTATCTCCCGTTGCTAGAAGCATTGCTGTATCTCCCGTTGCTAGAAGCATTGCTGTATCTCCCGTTGCTAGAAGCATTGCTGTATCTCCCGTTGCTAGAAGCATTGCTGTATCTCCTGTTGCTAGAAGCATTGCTGTATCTCCTGTTGCTAGAAGCATTGCTGTATCTCCTGTTGCTATAAACATTTGTACCGTTGCTATAAACATTGCAACACCTGAAAGTTTTATAGCAACCAGAGAAATGTTTATAGCAACAGCAGAATGTTTTTAGCAACTGGAGAAATGTTCATAGCAAGGGGATATTTGTTTATAGCAACCAGAGAAATATTTATAGCAACTGGAAATAGATTAATGGGATGGAGTTAAAAAGCACTTGGGATGTATGATCGTAAAGTTAGAAAGGTCCCTGTATTTGTAGAAAGCTGATTTTTTTTATTAGTCTTTTGCTGCATCAGTCTTGCTTTGTTATTTTGGATGTAGTGGTCTCGGGTGGGCTGTTTTCCTTGTTCTTTTATACCATGAAGATACAGAGTCATCACTTACAGACCTCTCTGTCCCCATTGGTGGTTATAGCAAAGAACTTGAGGGGATTTACCTTACCGATACCTCAGGGAAATGAGTAAACTACAGTTCCATTATAAAAATAAAAAAAAAATGTAAAATAAAAGTGCAGTCACTGTGACATTCCCAGAATCCCTCACCTCTCCAGTCAGCAGGTAGTTGACCTCCAGGGTCAGATCCAGGAACCTCTCGGTCATTTGATTCCAGTTTGTGTTTGGCATCATCAAGCCGATCAGGCAGCCTGAGAACAGGCTCTGGGCTTGTGGACAGGAATTTGGTGGTTCTGTAATTGCAGATACATAGTGTATTTAAGTTTTATTCAAATCACGTTAAATTAAGAGAAAGATAAGAACAATGATTAAAGGAAAACTGTAGGCATCATAACTACTTCAATGGATGACAGCTGACTGAGGAAGCTCTTCAAGAGTGAAACGCATTTCGGCTTATCTGGGACTTTTATACTATATGTTATATACTTATATTGCACCAATAAATGTAATTATTTTAAAATAGTCATGTGGCAAACCTAGCCACTTCAGACTATTTTGTTTATCTTTGAAGGTTGCCCTATATATGATGTTTGATGTGGTTGCTTAAAATATGAAAGAGGGAATTCGTATGCTAGGTTTTCCCCCACTCTCTTGTGATTTATGTTACCCTCTTGGGGCTCATCTAGTCCTTTACATGTTTCATTGATTGCCCTGTTGTGTGGCTCCGCTCCTTTGCCGTTGTTGCCAATTGCTGTGGGATTCCCCTTGTTGGGCCTTCCAACCTCTTTGCTCCCCCCTCCCTGGTGGTGTCGCTCCCTCTTGGTGATTTGTATGGTGAGCCTGTTGTTCGTTTATATACGCCTTCCATCGCCCTCCCGCTATGTCCGTATGCTTTCGTGGTCCTAGGTGTTTGTTTGCCATCAGCTCATATTTCGTGGGCGCTCTATAAATATAATAATTAGATAAGTATATAATACCTCCCTATTTAGGACAGACGATCCCTATTTTGGACCCAAATCCCTCTGTCTCTATTTTCTCTCGTAATGTCCCTCTTTTCTAAGAGCTCCATATAGTTGGTATGTCTGAGAGTATAGCAGAGCTCCGCAGAAAAATACTCCCAGTAATATGTCTTTAAACTACAATAAATGTGTTTAGAAATCAAACTGTGTAAATAAGATACATTCTTCTTGTTACATTTTAGTTGCATGACTTATTAGTAAGTTTCCTAAATTTTCTCAGAACAGTCTTACCACTGGCCACACCCCTAAGTGTACAGTGTTGCTCTTTGTTCATCTGAATTGTTGAGAGGTATGGTCAGGGCCGGCCCAAAACATTGTGCTGCATGGATCCAAAGATGAAATGCATCCCCCCCCCGCACCAAAAGCACGCCAACATCCATTATGTTATGCTGTGTGTAGTGAACGCAATGTCTGTTTGTGTAGTGGACGCATTATGTGTGTGTGTGGTGGATTCAGTGTAAGTGTGTCATGGATGCTGTATGTTTCTGTGTTGTGGATGTAGTGTGTATTGTATGCAATGTGTGTGTAGTGTATGCAGTATTTGTGTGGTGGATGCAGTGGCTGCGTAGCGGGTGTAGTGGCTGCGAAGTGGTGTCTGTGTAGTGCATGTAGTGTTGGACAAGTGCTGGGGGTGAGCAGTTTAAGTTAAATTGAGCTAATCTCTCCCCTCCTTGCCTCTTACCTGTGGTCTGGAAGGTGACACTATAGGGGGACAGTATGAGGGTAAGTGTGTAGGAAGGCTGTGGGGGGCAGGCTGTGTGGTTAACAGTGTGGGGGGGCAGGCTGTGAGGGACAGGGCGTGAGGGTGCATGCTGGGAGCAGGGTGCGTGGGAGAAGGCTGTGGGGGACAGGGAGAGAGAGTCTGGCTGTTGGGTATCAGGGTGTGGGGGTGCATGCTGGGGGCAGTGTGCGAGAGGCGGGGTGTGGGGGTGCATGCTAAGGCCAAGGAATGTGGGAGAAGGCTATGGGGTAGCAGGGTGTGGGGTAGTCGAGTTGGGGTGCAGGCTCTGGAGGGCATGCTTGGGGCTGGGTTTATGGGAAAAGGCTGCAGGGGTGCGCAAGCCTCCCCACTTTGGCATACCTTTTCCCTGGGGATCCAGAGGGATCGCTCTCCAGTCTGCAGCTACGCCAGGTGTGAGCGGCAGGCCACATGTTCGAGTTCTCGCGAGCTCCAGTCAGAGCGTTGCCATGGTAACCCACGGCAACACTCTGGGAGCTTGCGAGCCCTCCATCATATAGTCTGCAGCTCACACTCGGCAAAGCTACAGACTGGAGGGTCTCCCCGGGCAGACCGAGCAGAGGACCAGAGGAGGATTATTGAGTGTACCAGCGGAATTCGTGGATTTAATACTGCCGATCCGCTACAATAATGACTATATACAGGGTGTGTACATTATACAGTGGCTATATACAGGGTGTGTATATTATACAGTCACTATATACAGGGTGTGTATATTATACAGTGACTATATACAGGGTGTGTACATTATACAGTGACTATATACAGGGTGTGTATATTATACAGTCACTATATACAGGGTGTGTACATTATTCAGTGTATACTGGGGGTGTGTGTATATTATACAGTGACTATATACAGGGTGTGTATATTATACAGTGACTATATACAGGGTGTGTATATTATACAGTGACTATATACAGGGTGTGTATATTATACAGTCACTATATACAGGGTGTGTACATTATACAGTGACTATATACAGGGTGTGTACATTATTCAGTGTATACTGGGGGGGTGTATATTATACAGTGACTATATACAGGGTGTGTATATTATACAGTGACTATATACAGGGTGTGTATATTATACAGTCACTATATACAGGGTGTGTATATTATACAGTCACTATATACAGAGTGTGTATATTATACAGTCACTATATACAGGGTGTGTATATTATACAGTGACTATATACAGGGTGTGTATATTATACAGTCAATATATACAGGGTGTGTACATTAAACAGTGACTATATACAGGTGGTGTACATTATACAGTCACTATATACAGGGTGTGTATATTATACAGTCACTATATACAGGGTGTGTACATTATACAGGGTCAGTCACTATATACAGGGTGTGTACATTATACAGTGACTATATACAGGGTGTGTATATTATACAGTCACTATATACAGGGTGTGTATATTATTCAGTGTATACTGGGGGGGTGTATATTATTCAGTGTATACTTGGGGGTGGTGTGTGTATATTATTCAGTGTATACTGGGGTGTGTGTATATTATTCAGTGTATACTGGGGGGGGTGTATATTATTCAGTGTATACTGGGGGGGGGGTGTATATTTACCTATCTCATACAGTATATTTGTCAATACACACCTGGCTGCCTCTCCCTGGGTCTCCCAGCACTGTATCCACTACCTCTTCGCTGTGACACTGAAGGCAGGCTGCTCTAAACACAATCACCGACTGGCGACAGATTCCAGGCCTCACTATACGATGGCAGAGTGTCCTATGGTAATCAGACGCTTTAATATGACGTCATCGGGAATCTGACAACTGAGCAGCCATCTTTATTTAGGGCAAACCTCCCACCTCTCTCTATGGGAAGTCAGGGCAGGAAGCTGGGGGGATATAATCAAAGTAGACACTTTTTCAAACCCTAAAAAAAGTTAGATTTCAATTAAAATATGGCAAAAGTGGCTATTTTGACTTTGTTTTTAAAGATGAACTGTGATTTGTTTTGGATGAGTTACAGAATGAATTTCTTCCTATTTTATTGTAGTTTACATTACAGGCTTTGCTGGCAGCCTGGCAAATCATGGAGCACAGTACAGGTAACTGCGTTAGTAATCACAGTAAACGAGGAAATAATGATCACTGGGTGGGATGAAGGAACAAGGAATTGTCACCTATCTGGAGCTGACGCTTCCTCTATAAAATCCAGTGGGTCAGTGATTTTTTTGTGTGGATCAATCACAACGTCTAGTCTAACAAGCTCTAGGTAGGTGGTCGTGTCAAAGTGAAATCAACATGAAGGCAGACCTCCCCCACCCCCCGTAGGCAGAGCCCCTCAATGTTTATAAAAGGCATTCTTGGACTTGGCACCATATTGGCTGTCATAGTCCTTCCCAACTGTCTCTCCGAGCGCCTCCACTCTGTCACAATCCTTCCTACACGGATTGCGGGTGCCCATGTTGTGGCCACCATCTTGCCGCGGTGGCACAGTTGTTGATCTTGGCACTGATGGTGGAGTCAGGGAGCAGAGAATGCCACGGGGCAGCCCTGATGGACACTGTCAGGATTACAGTATGAGCCAGCACGTAGAATTGTGTAACACAGAGGACTGATAGGTAACGTATACCGGACCTTAGATTGGCCGGACTAACGTACCAAAGAATAGTCAGGAATAGCCGAGGTCAAGGGAAACAGAAAGAGACACAACGATAAGAGAAAGCCAGAAGTCAGGGATACCAGGGAAGTCAAAAACAATGCCAGAGTCAAATAACCAGAATCAATAACTCACTCTCAGACAACCACAAGGTAAACCATGACAGGGCACTGAGCAGGATGAGAACTGGGCCTAAATACTAGATCTGATAGGCTGTAACCGGCCTTTGACCCCAAAGCCAGTTACCAGGTTCCAATTTGCATAATTGCTGCTCAGCATTAACCCTTCTGTGGATTTGGTTGCTGCTCGGCACAACCTTTCCTGTGTGGACAGTGTGGCAAAACTAGCCACTTGGACTAACATGGACAATATGTTTTGAAAGGTTGCCTGTATCTTTATTGTGATTTCGTATGTGCCCTGGCTGTAATCTGCTTAGTCCAGTATGTTTTATTGACTTTGTCAGCTATCTGCCGAAAGCGGGCTGTTCGTGAACCGAATGAACTATCTTTTAATAGCCCACACACTAAGAGACGTTGTTAACAATGTTGCAATCGGTAATTAGAGACTTTCCTAGGTGGCCGTCGTTCGACTACCGACCACGCGGCGGTCGACCATCTTGGATCCTTTCTCTCCAGCGGTGCTTGTTCGTCGAGCGCGTGGTACTGAAAGCGGCTACTCGACGGCGCGAACACCGCAGGGCTTCCAGGCCGTTCGGGAGCTCCAGTCTTTTCGCCATTAGGATTCCCCATCGGTGTTCGGTACTTTGGGTTGAACTCTATGGCAAAGTGTTTTTCGTGCGGCATTCGGTTGTTTTAGCTGGGGTCTGAGCGGTATTCTCACGAACTGTGCACTCAGACCCCAGCTATCTACCGAACGTCCATTTGTGTAAATCCACTTAATATAATACAAGTTATAGATTTTAAGGGGAATTGCCGGTTCTGCTGCACGGAGGGATAATCCACTTAACGGTACATTCCAGGGGGAGTGTCCCTCTCGTGCAGCAGTGCCTGATGGGAGAAATGCCCTGTACATTAAGTTTCCCATGTAGTCCACTCCTGTAATGCCCCTGTGATGTGACTCAGGAAACCCCTTGCATGGGGAATTGTATAAATACTGGAGCATGTGAATAAAGACCTCAGTTGACTCCCAGAACTGTTTCGTCCGGTTACTGGGGAATTTGGAACATTGCCTTACTTTTCAGCGCTTGACTGTGGATTACCTTCTTTACCAGCGGAGTTCGTGGGATTTAATATTGCCGATCGGCTACAATTGGTGGCAAGCAACGGGATCCAACCTTACAGCCGAAACGCGCCGTTCTGATAAAGAGAAACTACCAAACGAGAAAAGGGAATGGCAATTCGTATGCAGCAAACAGCCGAAAGAGAAAAGTGAATGGGGACGGATTACACTACATTGAAAAGGCAGACACTGAAAGAACTGCTGGAAGCCAGAGGGAAGATCGCCAGCAACAAGTCGAAAGCCGTGCTGATCGCCGAACTGATGGAGGGAGACAGAGCTCACAACAGCACACCCCCACCAGCCAGGGAGGAAACCCCAGACCAAAGAGAAATGCAAACCCGGATGGAGTTTCTACCACAGCCAGTACCCCTGGAAATCTTGACGGTCCTGATGGCGGATGTGCAGGAGTACATGATGGCACACCACCCACAGGAGGCACCGTCCAGGGCAGAATCCATCACTGCCTCCATCTACGGTCAGGTAAAGCCTAAAATTCCCTATCATGCCTTCAAAATGTTTTGCAAGGAGAAGGATGAGATTGATGGATACTTACAGGATTTTGAAAGGCTATGTGACCTACATGACCTAGAACAGGCAGTATGGGTGCCGTTGCTGGCAGGCAAACTTGCTGGTCGGGCAGCGGAAGCCTATCGCAAAGACTATGCAAAGGTGAAAAGGGCTATACTTGAGAGATACGCCATTACGCCGAAGGCATATCGGCGCAAGTTCCGAGGATTGCGCAAACCGGAGAAAGATTCTCATGCTGAATGGGCGCACAAGCTAGACCAAGCATCGCAGGGGTGGATACAGGCAAGTCAAGCCACCACCAGGGAGGAGTTGTGCCAATTAAATTTGTTAGAGCAATTCTTTAATGGATTATCCCCAGAAGCCTAAGAATGGGTGAGAGACCGCAAACTTCTCACCCTACCTGAAGCAGCCCGATTGGCCGATCAACACTTTGATGCAAGGAGGCATCACGGGTCCGTCAATCGGAACTACCCTCGACCCACTGTACAACACAGTACAGTCGCACCCACGACTTCCACCCCTGCTCCTTTTAGACCGACCCAGGGGAACCAACCACCCCCCTCCCGCTACAACGGCAGGGCAAACATCCAGTGCCATACCTGCAGACAGTGGGGACATATGTCTAGAGAATGCACCCAGAACAAGAGCCGACAAGCCTGGAACCAAGTACGGCAGAACCCAGCACCTAGGGCCGCGGCCCATCACTACCAAGTGGAACCCAATACCCAGGAGCTGCTGGGCATCCAGGCAGAGGAACCCCTGGGAATACTGCATGAAGTGATGTCCGTACAAGCCACTGACAACCGGCAACATCATCGCCAACTAGTGACTGTGGAGGGCAAAGAAGTACAGGGACTGCGTGACTCAGGAGCCACACTGACTTTGGTAGCTCCACATTTGGTTCCGGATACCGCTCACACTGGCGGGTGCTGGGGAGGGGGTAGTAGAAGTGGCCATCATGAAAAAGTTACCTGCAGATGTGGTACTGGGAAATGACTTGGGCTGGATGACCTCTGCATTTATACCCCAGACCCCTCTTCAAGAAGCATATCCTGTGACCACCCAGCAGCAGGCTCGCACCACGGTTCCACCAACGCACTCTGAGGCTCAGGTAAGAGACCATGACCCTTCTATGACCCGTATGACCTGGGACACCCCGACTACATTTGAGGCAGAGGTTAAGTCAGACCACACGCTGCAGGTTTACCGAGATAGGGTGAGCACCGATCAAGCCGGATTAGAGGGGGAGCGGCATATCTGGGAGAAAGTGCTGTTATATCGTAGCAGAAAGAGTAATAGGGGGCTCAGTCACAGTAAACACTACACAGTTAGTGGTTCCCCAAAAATACAGGCAGGAACTGCTTAGGATCGCACATGATATCCCCTTGTCTGGGCATTTAGGAATGACCGTACCCGTTATTGGCTGACCCACGCCTTTTTCTGGCCAGGGATCTCCAAAGATGTGAGGCATTACTGCACCTCCTGTGACATTTGACAGAGGGTGGGGAAGAGGGGGGACCGCCACAAAGCGAAACTATGCCCCCTGCCAATTATTGAAGAGCCATTTAGCAGAGTGGCCATTGACATAGTGGAACCCTTACCGAAGCCTAGACCGTCCTGTAAGAGGTATATCCTGACCGTGGTGGACTACGCCACCCGGTACCCCGAGGCCATCGCCCTGTCTAATATTCATGCAGAAACGGTGGCAGAGGCCTTGATGAAAGTTTTTTCCCGGGTAGGGTTTCCTCAGGAGATAATCTCTGAAAGGAGTACCCAGTTCACCGCCGAAGTCACCCAGCAACTGTGGAAGATATGCGGCATTAAGCCAATAGTAATCTCTGCCTATCACCCCCAGTCCAACGGCTTATGCGAGAGGTTTAATGGTACCCTGAAGCAGAAGCTCCGTAGATTTGGAGAGGCCCATAAGGACTGGGAAGAATTCCTTCCCCATCTGCTATTTGCGTATAGAGAGGTATCCCAAGAGTCGACGGGTTTTTCCCTATTTAACTGTTATTTGGGAGAAGGGTGAGGGGGCCATTGGACCTAATTAGGGAGCATTGGGAGGGAGAGAGTAGCGCAGATGGGACCCCCATTGTACCGTACCTGCTAGAGTTCAGGGACCGCCTAGAGGAACTAACCCAGGGCGTACGCACCAATCTCCAGGCGGCCCAGCAACGACAGCGCCGCTGGTATGACAGGAAAGCCAGAGACTGCAGATTTCAAGTGGGATAGAAGGTTTTAATTTTAAAACCTGTCCACACAGACAAGCCTGCAGACCATCTGGCAAGGCCCATACCAGGTGGTGGAACAGAGATGTGACACCACCTATGTGATTGGCCCCTG